TATAATTCGTATAAACGCAAATTTTTATTAATAATAATTTTACTTTTATCCTAAAAATCACGTATTACATGTAACGATTATATTTGCAAAATTTTGTTTCAAATTTATCATGAATACAAGAATCAATCATCTAACAATTCTATAATATAAATATACTTCTCTTGGAAGCAGTATGGAATAAAGTTATGTAATATTATTCAATAGTGACACATCGGTAGAATCGAAAGAAAATTTAAATTGTGGAAAATACATTGACACTTGCTCCTATCTGATTATTACCTGGTGCATCTCGAAGGACTCGTTTCCAAAGGCTCGTCGTATCTACGGGAGAGCATCGTAAAGTCTCGATGAGCCGCGACCATTTTCTGTAGCCGCGAAATGATCTCGTAATCGGGCGTACAGATTGGCTCTGACAATAACTTCGCCACGGAGACGCGGAAGCTCTGAAGCTGAGACAGGAAATGACCAATTTGCGAATTGAATCATGCTTGTAACTTATAGATACTCGGACAGTCGCTCGATTCATTCGAGCATCAACTCTTCTATCACAAATTTTGCGCATTTATAGACAATTGTTTCTAACTATACAGGCAAAACTTAAACATTTTAATTGTCACAGAATATTTTTATTATATAAATACTTAAAACGAAATTATTTTATTTCGCGTGGTTTACAGATATATTTACAGATATATGTGTATAAAATTCGCATTAAAATATTCAAATACTAAGATGTATATTACTTAGTTGTGTATTCATGCATCACGATCTTATAATATCTATAACATTTTATTTATATTAAATTACATTATATTTTATGTTGTACATGAAATCCAATTATTTTTGCAGATTTAATAATATTGTACGTTGTTAATTAAAGTTTACGATTTTATATTAGAGTACCGACCAAACTTTTTCCATTTGAATAATAGTACTTCTCTTTCTATTTGTCTTTCTTTATTTATATTTTTCTGAAGTTTTAAATGTTATTTTAACAGTTTTGTGTGAAAAATACGAAGGTATTAAGATTCAAGTGCCTTACATATAATTTATTATAATTAATGTTCGTTTGTTCGAACTAAATCAAAGTTTCGCGACGCTTCGAAAAGCGAAGTTACGGCAACGACGGGATAAAGCCTCGCGAAATCGCATGCAAGATTTACAGTCCTTTCACGGAGTATGCCGCAGCGCGGGTTTAAGTCCAAGGAGCTATCTGCTTTACAGCCCGGCGACGCGCGAACGTGTCTCGAATTGCTATGATGTAGAGTCAACTTCAAATCGTTCTAAACGAACATTATGCGCCCAACGAGACAGAGAGAGATCATAATTACGCAAATGATCGTCGTCGCGAGTCATTGGAATTGCTACAATGAATTAACGAGTCCCTTTTGATCTTTACCTCCGAGGAATAATAGAAATAAGCTTAAGGCGCTTGCCTCTTTAATATTATAAGAGATCAAAGTGTTTTAAACTCGCAACAGAGTATCTGTGTATCACGGAGAAATAACGAGACAATTTCTGCAGAATAACGTAAATTTCTATCATAATTAGCTTTCTTTAACTCTCTTTTGCAAAGAATTAAACAACTTTATGTACACTTTTCTTCCTCGGAAGAAAATGTGTATTATTTCAGCGTTTAGGAAAGACTTACGTATACTCTTTGAGAAATGGAAATTCAAGAAATACATGTGTAATGCATCGAAATAGTTTGTCTACGATGCAACAAACGTCCGTGGTCGTTTCGACAGCGACTTCTTTTGCGTAATTTAATCGTTCGCAAATCCGCGTTCGTACACGATCATAAATTAGAATTACGTGAATACCAATACGCGTGCCGAATACACAATCTGCCACTGAGACGCGGCCTTCGCCTTTTGCGTTTTTTGACCAATAAAGCAAACGTCGCACGAAGCAATTTCTTAATATTAATTCATTTCAGCATTCGTTTCGAGACTAAGAAATTTATTTTATATTTTATATAATAATAATAATAGAGTGTATATCTCACACACTTTTATTTGGTTCCATTAATGGAACGTCAACGCGGATTTATAGACAGTGGTAAATTCAAGAGATGGAATAGCACGTGCGATATTTGACACGTACAAAAGTAATAATGCATCTCACCTGGGATTCTCGCCTCGTGACCTCGGAGAGATTTTGCTTGACCTGAGCCATCTCGTCGCGGAGGAGCTGTAGGGAATGGTCGTTTATCGATCTCTCCTGATCGGCTGTCTCCGCGGTCGTCCTCATCTGTTCCTTCGCCATCGTCAACTTTCTGTTGTAACGTGTCCTCAACATCTCGCTCTCGACGAGACGTTTTTGAAGCTCCTCTATTTTCCGGCTGCGTTCCAGCGCAGCTATCTGCTCGCAGAAAATATCGAAAAATGAGTTAAAATATCTGATCGATGGCTGCAAATTATTAAGGCTTTCTCGCGCGGTTTGCGAAGAGAATTTATTCAGGAATTTTGTTTTCCCGACGTACGCCACTTCGCAACGTTCTCAAGCATAAAATCGATTTAACAAGGCTTTCTATAAAAAAGCCTAAAATAGAAATTTTTAATTATTTAAAAAATTGAATGAAGTATTTCATTTACTGGAAGTAAATAAAATCTTATGAAATAATAAAGTGTACGAATTAATTACATTAAAAATTAATGCAACCAATATATTTCGCTGTTTAACAATAAATCACTTTTTTCTCTTCGAAGGGCATATATACCTCAAAGATTTTTTCATAAATATGATGTCAATGGTAGAATTTGCGTAGTATGTCAAGACATTTTAGTAAATTGGTTGTAATAATAAATTAGAATGATTTTTTGTTCATTTCTTCCTAATCTCTTAAAAACTCCTAACGTAAATTCTGATGAAGGCATCGTGTTCAGCGCGAAAATATCTTCGGGGTGTGTATTATGGCACTTCGGAGAAAATTGGGATGTTTATTTAACAGTTGTCATTAACTTCATGTAGCTGTGACGAAATTACACTGCCTAGACCGCACTACATGTTCCACATGTATTCCTCGGTCACTCGGATTTATCTGATTATGAAAAAAGTATGAACACTCTTAAAATTACATACCTTATAATCCGCAGCTTCTGTCAATTGTGCGCTCAACTCCCGATTCCGCGATTTTTCGTCCGACAATTGGATCTGAAGTCGATCGACTTGTTTTCCCAGCTTTCTTGCGCTAAAAGAAAAGGAGGAAGAAACTCATAACCTCTCATTTTTCTTCAATCCGAATCTCGTCGAGCATTAAGAGAAGCGATGCCTAATAGTTGCCTAACATACAATAATGAACATATAGAGGGATATATATTTGATATATTTCAAATAAACCACGAACTACTGTCAGAAATTATAGATAACCACCGGCGATCACTGCGTGCAAAAATCACACCACATCTCGGATGCATAAAGCCACGCACTATCGATCAGTAAAATTTTCCAATAAACCGCGATTCTATATATCTCCCAACGAACAGCTAGTCAATAGGAATTGTATCCGCTAACATTGCGTGTTCAATAGAAAGTAAATATTGGAGACGATTGTAACACGAATTAATTATTGCAACATTAGCAATAGCCAGTTTTAATTATTTAGGATATAGATGGATAGTCTTCGCAAACATCATAATTTCTCGCAGTAATTATCTACTTTCACGTGATATACAAGAGAGAGAGAGAGAGAGAGAGAGAGAGAGAGAGAGAGAAGTGTCATTCTGTGCAAATATTAGTTTTTATAAATTATTCAATATATGTGCGAAAAACAAATTCAAAGTTTGTTTAAAATTTTGTTGCAACTGGCTCCAGGCTATTCTAAAACAAACCGTATATTCGCCTCGTCCCGCTCGCTCTGCAATAGCGACTTCATTCTCACACTGTCCTCTTGTAGAGATAGCTTCCTACGTAGAAGGTCCAAATGCAGGTCCCTACGCTGCAGTTGCTCCCGTAGGGTTCGAACACGACGTTGCAACTGATAAACAACTGATGTCTGCGAAACAAAGAAAAAGAAGACCACATTTGTCGAGTTCTTCTTAGCAGGAAAGACGGTAAATTTCCCAAATGTAGCAATGTGCAAATACCCATTACTACGCAACGCAAAAATATCGATATCATCTAGTTTCTCGTGCAATCAATAAATTGGGTTTGGCAACATATAAGTCTTGAAAAATGACGAGTGACATAAAATAATAGTGAACAGTATTAAGTGGAAATTGACCAAAAAGTTTTTAAACGATCAAAGCGGATCTTGGTGCTTAATAATATTGTAAAAATAATGTTGTAAAAGTTCACACAAAAAAAATTATTAAATAAGCTCTGCTTTGACCGAATATGGCCTTTTTCGCTTATTTGTGTTGAAAATAATGACTTCTTCATGCGTATCATGATTTTTCTATTGTCAAGTTAAATAAGCAATGTCAGGTTAAATAAGCAATGTATAAAATACAAATTCAATTTTCACGAAATGAGGGAACGTCCTGTTAAAGGAAAAGTCTGTTTTTGCTGACACGTTATCGGAGATTATTTAATTAAAAGTTAGTACGCCGACCAATTTTATGTTGGAAAAAGCGACCGTAATATCGACGCGCCACTGACAATACCATAGAAGCTTTATTAAATGAAACTTCATTACGCGGTATTTCCGATAAACTGTCAATTTGAAGCAACAATTACGTCGCAAGCAAAGCTCGACCAACGTCCGACTCAACCGCAAAGTATATCGGAAAATCTAAGAGGAATGGAGAAATGAAAAGCGCCCCTCCCTCCTCTCACTCTCTCTCTCTCTCTCTCTACGTTAAGGATGCTCCACGATGAAGGAATGAAATGAATGTCTATGAAGAGGATGCCTGAAAATTCTATGAAGTTTCTCTCTAAGGCGCTTTGCTTGTGCCAAGGGCTTACTTCTTTGAGACAGGAAAGCTCGTGGAATGATCGCTCGCGCCGAATCCTCGGTAAGATCGTGTAGCTGGAGTACAAATACTGCGGCGTGTGGTAAGTACACACGATTTGCACGACAAAGAAACACAAAACAAAGGAGAAAATGTTAGCAACGTGACAGCAGCATAAAAAAAATGTAATATCGATCGCCCTTCACCTTGTCGACTAGTTTGTCGGTCTCCAATCTGGCTAGTTGCTCGGCTCGCACCAACAATGACTCAGTTTGAAGATCGAGTCCGATCTCCTGAGAGATCTCATCCATTTGCATCGCCTTACCCAATCGATCCAGAAAGGTCATGAACTGAACAAATTTACAAGATCAACTTTAAAATACTTCAAGGAATAAACAATACGTTAGCTTAGAAATAAATATTTTTCAGAAGTTAGAAATTTATGACACTAAAAAGCTAAATTAGAAATTTCTGAAATATTATTTCGGTAATTATTCAGTTTAGCTACCGCACCTCAAAAATCAATAAAATTAGGCTTATTCGATGCGTTTTTGCATGAAATGAAAGAATCTAGCAAAAAAAGTGTCACTCTGCCCTGTGAGCCGAGATATTAAGCGTTAAAGTTGACGACTATTGAAATTAGGAAATCTGTCACTGTCGCGAAATACTGCGATGCAAGCATACATTGCGGTTACCTTTTTCATACTCTGTGACAATTCACTACTTTAAAAACAATTCACTGCTTTAAAAACAATTCATTGCTTTAAAAACAATTCACTGTTTTAAAAACAACAATTCACTGCTTTAAAAATACAAATTTACTGCTAATGCAAAGAATTTGTATGCTTAAAATAGTGGATTGTTGTTTTTAAGGCAGTTATGGCCGTTCTACAATGTGCTTTTTGTTTCCTGTTTCTTGCTGTTTGTCTCTTGCCTTCTTGATCAAAAAGGCAAGAGACAAACAGCAAGAATCGGGAAACAAAAAGCACATTGTAGAATAGCCATAAATTGTTTTTAAAGCAATGAATTGTTGTTTTTAAAACAATGAATTGTTTTTAAAGCAGTGAATTGTTGTTTTTACAACAGTGAATTGTTTTTAAGTAGTGAATTGTTATTTTTAAAGCAGTGAATTGTTTTTAAAGTAGTGAATTATCACAGAGCATGAAAAAGGTAACCGCAATGCATGCTTGCATCGCAGTATTTCGTAACAGTGACAGATTTCCTAACTTCAATAATCGTCAACTTTAATGCTTAATATCTCGGCTCACAATGCAGAGCGACGCTTTTTTTGCTAGATTCTTTCGTTTCATGCAAAAACGCGTCGAATAAGCCTAATTTTATTGATTTTTGAGGTGCGGTAGCTAAACTGAATAATTACCATTGTTTCAATTATTGAAACTACTTCCTTAAATAAAGATTTATTATATTATTTAATTCAAAGAGACGAGGATAGTTAAATGTATAATGTCTTTAAATCCTCGTTATTTCCTTCTCTATAGATACCATGTGTCAAGATTGTTTTAACATTTCCAAGAGATAGAAGCGTTTGAAATTACCGTCTGCTTGTCTCTGCGTAAAGACTCTCTGGAGAGATCGCTGCTCGTGAGTTCAGATTCGAGTTTGTGTATTTTAGCTTCTTGAGCTGCGCGTTCCTCCTCTAGACTGCGTACCTTCATCATTGTGGATTCGACCAGTTCACTCTGTCGATTCGTTGATTCCATCGCCGTGTTCACTTTTTCTCGAAGACTTTGTATTTTCTAGAAAGAGAAAAGGACATAGCGAATTTCGCAATATTGTGTACATTATATAAAACCGAAAGTTTCAATATGTGAAGTTCCTCAGAATTTTGATGAAATTCTTAATAATTAAACAATTTAAATAACAAAATAAAGAAACTTTTTTAATTTAAAAAAAACTTGATCTTTTGCAAGCAAAAGTATAAAGTTACACGCGTTCTATTTTTTTAAATAACTACCAGTAACTGATCCTTATTGTCAGCTAGAATTTCTCGAATGCGATCTTTGATCGCATTTTCGTGAGACTCGACGAATCGATTTGGTGTACTGATAAGAATCGCAACCGACTCTAGAAGATGACGGAATTCATTTTGTACACGTTGCGTCTTCTCTTCGCGGACTTTCAGATCCTCTGCAAACACGATACAGGTTATCAGTTAAGATACAAGAGTGAATCAATGTGATTTACCTCGTAATTGACAGATCAACGCCTCTTGATTGGATATATTCCCCGTCGCGCTGGTTAAGCTCCTATTCGCATTGACCAGCTTGTCTCTCAAATCATTCATGTCCTTCTCAGCGACCCTATATTGCATTTCCAGACATTCCTTTTCCTGGAATAATGGAAAATAATTAACGATACAGTATTTGATAATTTAATGGATTTTAATACTTGAAATAATTAAAATAATGCTGCATTCACAATTTCTGTAGTAGCGTTTATATAATTAAATTTACGAATAAGAGGTTCTTTCAAAATTAATCGTAAATCAAATCTTAACCATCATACCTGGCGCAAACGATCTATGTCGACTAACTGAACTGACACTTGTCTCTGTAATTGCTCCTTTTCCGTAGTGGAGCGATCAAGAGCGTCCCTACAGGTTCTAAAATCTACTTCGACGCCCGTCAACTGCGTCTCGACGTTTGTGCTCTTTGTTCTCAAACGATTCACTTCTTGCACGAGTTCTTCGGCTTTATGAATCACCATCTCCGGACTGTGATGCACCGTGTCGCAGTACTCAACGTTCAATGCATGTGCCAATCTCCGCACGAAATCCTATGAAAACATATAGTAGGAATCTTATGAAAACAGATATAAGATATCTAAAAAGATAGAGGATATACCGAAAAAACAGTCTGAATACAGAGAGGAAAAATTGATACGATTTTTCTACGAGGAATAAATGGAGGTGTCGACAGCTTGTCGAGAAGCGCGATGGAATGCATTTTGAAACATATGGCACCTGCAGATTTAGACGTGCCCGTTCCTTCAATTGAATTTCCTCGGATATATTGTGCTCCAATTGTCGAATTTTTTTGTCATACTCTCGGACCTTTTCCTCGTGGTACTTCACGTCACGTTGCAGACCCTGTATCGTGATCTCATTTCTGCCCTGGGACGCATAGAGGTTTCTTTCCCTCTCTTCCAACTCCTGAAATCGTTATTGAATTCTACAAGATATATATGATCTGTCGACTGCAGATTCCGCGAGTTTCGTTATCTTTTTTAACGAAAGATAGCTGAGATGGAAGAAACGAATTATCTTGAAGCTCATTAACGCAAGAACCCTTTAATCGTCTGCTTGTTAGGGAATAAAATTAACCTGAATGCGTTTCTTGAGACTGGAGATGACGGCATTCTGCCTGGCTGCTTGCTCGCGAAGCTGATCCGCCTCTACTTGTAACTCCACAACCCGCTGGTCCCGCGATCTCACGGTGCTTTTCATTTCCTGTAACTAAATGAGGACCGAATTGATTACTAACGATTATCGAAGCGGTGAAACGATAATCGGTTTACCTCAGACATAAGCCTATCCCGTTTATATTCAAGAGCCGCCAGCTCGCTCCTCAAAGTAGTCGTTAAATCGTGAGTCATAGCGTCATCTGGGTCCACCTAAAACCAGGTATTCGATTATCCATTATCAAAAATATCGATATGAACGTATCATGTATATTTTATACTTTATATATTTTATCGCACTTTTTAACGTATCGCGAATGATTTTTATAAAAAGAAATCAAATGCTAATTTGAATTATCTATAGAAATTGAAAATATCATGATAGTCATTAAATTATATTCATATTTGTGTCTGAATCTACATTAAACGATTAAGTAATCTTGCTTGCAAAAACGTGAGTCGGCAAAAATGTGATTGCATTTACTTATTTACTGTTTTTATTGCGATTCCATTTATGAATTTCCTAGTATGATTACATTTTATACTCGGCATAATAATTATTTTAAATTATCGTATACCCCCTCCCCCCCATACAATGTATACTGTAATGTTGAATTTTATCACAGGCGAGGAGATTTCATCGTAAAGAGTCATTTTATTTCTCAAAGCTTCCTGCGAGATGGAGGGCTTTAATGGCAAAACGCTCATTTAAACGGGAATAGATTAACGGCGGCCTCCGCGGCACGGCTTCTGAAGTTCTGACCTTTCTCTCGTTCGGAGAGACTGCAGGATTCGCAAGTACCGCAGGTACTGATGACGTCTCTACCGGCGGCTCGTAATAATACCCATTTGAGCTTCCACGCGTGTACGAAGGAAACTTTACAAGACAGCTCAACATATGCCTCGTTGCCATTATGTATGTCTACCTGTTTGGAAAATTGCCGGAGAATATCGGCCGCGGTATGGGTAAGTTACAGCTTGTTGGCAGCTATTTTTAGAATGGTATTTCGAATCATCTATTTTAAAATCCTTGGCTCAAATTAGAAAACTTTCACGCTAGTTACTTCGAGACGTATTATATTCTAAGAATAAATTCCATTATTGACATAATATTAAGTGTAATATCTTCGATTGAAAATAGTTCTGACCTTTGATTTTTTAAATGTAAAAACCGATCATCATCCACTTTGCCCTGAAAAGTTATGCTTTAATCTTATATTAAATTTATAAATGATTGCTGAATGATTGCAGAATGATTAAATCGTCATTAACTAAGTTAGAAGGACGCACATGTCACTCAAAATAAGACGGATGAATCATATTATAATTATTAAGAGCACACAACGATACAGTTAAATATTTATATCGACAATTTTGGCGCCAATTATTGCCATCCTAATTGAATATTTACCGACAATAACTAATATCCATTCATAGCCGTTCGCTTTTATTTCTTTTTGATACTGATTTATATTCGACACGATTAATTACTTTTTAACAAATCCGGCTCATTACGGGATCTACAACGGAATTAAATATATCCCGTCGAATTACTCTTGTGATCTCAAATTAAATTCAAGTACACGCGTCCAAACTCGTTTCGCCGTTAATTACAATCGTAAGCGGATTTAAAGCTTTAACGTGTAAAAAGTAAGTCTTTTTATGTTCGTTGTTTTTTTACCCATTTTTCTCGATCTTATTCGCGCATTTGCAAACGCGAGCGTACTGTAATATAACTTCGTGATAACTATCTCAGCTCGTCCAAATGCAAAAGGTAGAAAGGTAGAAACAGAATAATCGTGGAATAAACACGGTGCGAAGTTTTGTAAATGGAAGCATTTTCATGCATACTAATTACGAAATTTACTAATTACGTATTCACTTCATTACTGGTGCATCTATAATACTTGAAGCTGATTGAATTGTATGTACATTGAAAAAGCATATTTTGCACGATAATCCGAATCTTCTGTTCTCTTCATGCAGTAAATTAAAAGAAATTTAAAAAGCAAATTAATTTAATAATCTTATAATCTTATGATATTATTTAATGTAATAATAATATTACATATAACAATATTAAATATATTATAATAGTATACAGAGTAATATTATAAACACGTTAGTATGATTTACTATGATAGTTTGGACGCGCGTAGTTGGATTTAATTTTAGATCACAAGAGTGTTTCGACGGGATATATTTAATTCCGTTCTAGATCCCGTAATCAGCCGGATTTGTTAAAAAGTAATTAATCGGGTCGAATATAAATCAGTATCAAAAAGAAATAAAAGCGAACGGCTCCGCATGAATGGATATTAGTTATCGTCGGTAAATAATTCAATTAGGACGGCAATAATTGGAGCTAAAATTGTCGATATAAATATTTAACTGTATCGTTGTGTGCTCTTAATAATTATAATATGATTCATTCGTTCAATAATTTTATAAAAATGTTTCTACGTATTATAATAAAAAAAAAGCATGTCTCGCCAATTATTCCCGTCGTCGGAATCGATCTCGTCGACGTAACTCGCTCCACGTAACAAGGCTCGTTCAAAAACATGATCAACTCTACCTCGTGTTGCCCGCCGGATCCATATCGCAGATTCCCGCAGGAATTTCCGCTACACGATCGTGCGCGACAGCGCTTCGTATTCCCCGAAGCACCCCGTGCTCTTGATCCAGATAATACTCAACGGAGTTCGCACTCGAAGTCCGAATCGTGGATAACGTTTTCGACTGCACGAAGAGAAGAGAGAGAACGAGGGCGCGCATCGAAGGTAAGCCTCTACCATCGCCAATTTCCAGGGCAATCGGATGCGCGCGGCACAGACAGTTACGATGGTAAAGTTTCGTCTGCCTACGACAGTGGATTACGTGACCCGAATCCACCGACGCCGCCACTACCATCCTGGAACGAGCGACCTCACGACCCTCGTCGCCCTTCGCGACCTCGTCCAGGTATTTGTATCTGCACGCGAAAATCTATGCTCGCGAAATCTACGTCAGCTACCAGAGCAAGAATGTTACCCTGGAACACGGCACAATGGAATACGCTTCCCGAATTTACAGGTCAGCGTTTCCACAATGATACTTCTCGATGGTATCGCCATTGATTCCACATCGTAAACCTGAATGCCTGCTTTGACTAATGCGGATATAAAGATACGAAGATACATACTCTCTTAAACTTTTAGAGTGAAAGCTCACTTTAAAAAGTGAAATCTCGCCTTTAAAGATTGAAAATTGAGAGCCATTCTTTTTTAAGACTCCATTTTCTTACTAGCTCCATTTTCACTCCTTGTGAGATTCCACTTTAAAGGATTTAGAGAGTTAAATTCATAATTTTAAATTGGACACAATTTGAGTTATTTTTAATAATTTCTATAGGTCTCTCTCTCTCTCTCTCTCTCTCTCTCTCTCGCCACTGCTTCTATCCAATATGTCGTTGTCTGATATACGTTAATTCGACTAACTTAACTCAAGAAAATGTAGGTATTAAATTTAGTTTACTAAGTGCATAATTAATATAGACGATATTTACTTTGAAACTAACTACAAAAATGGATTAATTTACATTTTGACATAAATGAAAGTTAAAAATAACAAAATGTTATTTAACTCAAGGTATTGAGTTATCATTGCTTCTTTGGTATCTAACTCCTACTTTCTTTTTGACGACTTCTCGCTGATTAAAAAAAACTATCACTTGCAGTGTGGTCACGTCAAAAGGAAAATCCCTCTCGTATAAACGTTGCATTCGCTCAGGAGATAAATTATAACGTCTATCGCGTTTTTAGACGAGGGGGATATTTAATTCAACGCTCTTTATTTTCCTGGGAATCAAATTGAAATCTGGATCCTACATGCGCCACGATCAATTATCTCACAATTTAATTACGCGACAGGTCATCGACCAGGAAATACGCGAATGGGATCGTTATCGTTATCTCCATGACCCGAAAATAGTTTCGTTTGGGTGGGAGGTAGTACAGTTCTGACGGCACGCATATTCCCGCAACCTGCGGAATACCGTGAATTTCCATGGTATGGTTAAGTCCAACGATATTGAATACCCATTATTCCCCGTTCATAAATATCCCAATGGTCTCGGGATCTGTGCGGGAAAACGATCAGCGTGCGAACCCGACCTATTTACCACCGGTATTTACCTCAAAGCGCGCATGGGATTACAGCGAATCCCGCTCGCTGGTAGATACACCGTGCACGTAGTATAAAAAAAAAATTGTAAATTTGCCACCAGGGAGATGGTTTTCTGCAGTGTCATTTCGCGGGTAACGCGCGAACTCGTGATTTCGCGCAACCGTAATAACACAAGTAAAATCGCAATGAGAGTACGTGAGCATGTTGAGAAATACAATACTGGTAAAATAATTTAGATCTCCGCTAAAAACTGACGATGTCCCGCGTGTGTCTTATAATCTTGCAGTCCATTAAAATTAAGCTAAAGGATCGATTAAAATAAAAAAATGAATGTACGTGCCTGCAATATTTTTTATAATTTTCACGTAAGCAGATGTGTAATTGCACTGAAAAAAGAGGTAGTAACTGTCGAATATTGAGTGAAATAATTTCAATCGAATATGTTCGACTAAAATAATTTTACTTTTTTAAATATATTTAGTATAACAAAAAAGCGATGTTGTTTTTGTGAATTTAAGTCGAAGGATTTTTTTAATGGTCAAAATACGATATTGCATACAATATTTTAGAAAATTGCGGCCGGATGATATCTATTTTTGGCGCAATATACCAACGTGTTCGATCAGCATGATATTGCAATAGCGATGATATATTAATATACGTATATGTCGGACGGTTCGAATTTTGCTCTATGCCGTGCACATGTAAGCAGAATTTGCAGCATAAACGCAGTGCATGATTATGCTTACTCGGTTTTTGCATTTCGCCGATGAAGGTTTATCAGCATTTTTTTTTTTTTTACTAAAATACATAAGTGAGCTCCCTTCGCTGAAGTTTCACATGAAATTACTATGTATTGCATGTATTATATAAACAGATAAAATTCCCCAGATAGTATTATAGCATCACATTTAGCGTTGCAACGAAATGCGAAAACGTGGATCTCTGTATTTTTAATTGCATTATGCAAAAAATTTAATTATATTATTTAATTATTTAGATTTTTCTCCATTTTTCTCTTGTACAACTTACATATCTTAAACATTATGACGTGCATTGCATCGGACATTTGGGAGAGGCAGCAACAGGAGAGGATTTATTATTGATACTCGTAAACCGGAATCTCCATGTAATTAAAGTTACAATATCGGTATGTTAATGTGATAGCAAATATACATAGAATATTGCATCGATCCATTCTTTCACGTGATTGTAGAAGGGCAATGCATCAGAAATAACCAGTTATTAATACTTAAACAATCAATAAATGCATTTGTATCTTTTATTATACAGAATAAATGTAATTTTTATATGCCTATCACTACATTTACAGGTGATTTAAAAAGAGTGATATACATAATTAAGATAAGAAAAGTATCGGAATATTAATATTTCTTTCAAGAAGCAATGAGAGTAATTTACATTCACATTTTTATGCTTCTAATTATTAAATTATTTAGCAAATTATTTTATTATTAACATTTCGTTAAATTACTACGTACACCCAAATCTCACATTTTTTGCGTAAATAAATTATAGCGAAATGGAATATCACATTATTAACAATAATATATGCACAGAAAGCATTTGCAGTTTTTATTGAAAAAAAAAAGAGTGAAAGTAAGTAGAGTAAAATGCTTTTATTTTTCAATCTCATCATTTATCATAAATAAGATACTAAAGCAAGCTAAGATAAATTTCCAAAATCTACAAGATCGAAAATGTCCCCGAAAGGAAAGCATATATTCTGAAAAATCGAAGTGTCCGATCGACCTAGAAAGAAATTTGAGACGAATTAAAAATATCGGGACATCGATAAAACTGTATTTGGTGAATCCTGCGGAGCCCTTCCTCCAATCGCGCGCCAGAATAAGACATGTCAGTCCCTTCTATCAGCCATGCCTGATAACTTAAGATCGACTTCGAAAGCACGCGACAGCGCGAGTGGTCGACAGCTGGGGTAGCAGCGACAGGTGAAATCGATTCGATGCAACGCTATGGCAACGCGACCCTTGTTCACGCGCGAGTCGATACGCGCTTGCGATTCGCGCGTGTTGAGCAAGAGACTGAAAGGGAACGAAAGGGAGCGCTAATGACGAACGTGACGGAATCCCACGTGCAATTCGATGCGCGAGTTGCGTAATTAAATAGCGGCGCTGGGAGATACATTCTCGAGCGAACGAGGAATATCACTAGAAATACTAATAATACGAAATTCGACTGATGAGAATAAATCAAATTAAATAAAAGAAATCCTATTTTATAAAGCGAATTTTGGTGCTTAAATATTTAATATGTGATATTACTACTCCAGTTTTGTTTATGATTGCGTTTTAAGATTGGAAATATTTCAGTACACAATTTGCAGAATTGAATATGTATGTAAATTTACTCCGCGAAATATATTTAAGCAAGATCCACCTTAACTGGAAATAGGATTTTCCGTACATAATTAGCAATGTTAAATACATGATTTGCATGTCTCATTATGATAGTAACTGAGTTTGTGCCACACGAAATAAATGAATAAAAAATATTAGACATCACTCTCTCTCTCTCTGTGCATTCCTTTATTTTTAATTCACTGATGAAATTTAATGAATAATCTGTAATTATTGCACAATCCTTTACGATGCTTCGCACGTATATTTTTTGTAGTTTCTACACTAGAGTAATTTCAAAAGCTGGATGCATTAGAGAGGAAGAAGGAAGCGTATTTGGCCAACAGAAATTTGCATAATCTAAATCCTGTTCTTTTTACCCAGCATTAGAACGACAGAAAACTTTCATTTCCCGCATTTTTCTAGAATGCAGAAATGTCGCGAGATAAAACCTCCCAGATGAGCGAGAAATGCTGCGAGCTTTTCGTCGCCAGACACCACACGTTTATATTGCTCAAATCTGACTCCTCAAATCTGCTACGTAAACTCTCTATGAATGGCTTTGTCTAAAATTTCTCAAGTAAGTGTTTGAATATCATTCAGTATTTTCAAAAACTATGGTATACTTTTAAAAAATGTTCAAATTAATTTGTGTAATATCTATGTAATTTAATAATAAACACTAAATTTAATTCAATAATTTGTACGCCCACATGAATAGTATTATCACTATAATAAATAAATCTTTATAATAAATAATAGAAGAAATCTAAAGTTCTCTCTCTCTCTCTCTCTCTCTCTCTCTCTCTCTCTCTCTCTCTTCGTAGCCCGAAACATGGCCAATCAATCAAAAATTATTTAAGCGGTGTCCAAATTCTTATTTAAGGAATTCTATATACTTCGCCGAAAGCTGACCAGATGATCGAACTCAAAGTGGCGAATCAATCAAATAATTCTAATTGATTGTATGATCAATATTTCCTCTATCGATTTGTTGCCCTTCGATGAATTCGCGCCGTGTACATACATACTGGCATGTATACAATGAGAGGCTTTGTGGCGGGCGATACGGGATGTGCACGTGACCGCACGTGCGATTAGCATGTGAATACGTGTGTGCATGTGCATGTGGATGTACGTGATGCAACGGCAGAGGGACGATAAGCCATTGATGCAGTTCACGGTATAGCGCATCTACAAACTCGCTCGAGCTTGCGACATTCTGTGTACCTACGAGGTATATTTCGCAATAAGAGATACCAACTTGTTACACATATTGAAGTACGTGCTCATGTTATTATACACGCATAAAAGGATATCAGCATGATCTCAATCACGATGGCCTTAATTATATAAGTAAGCTTCAGCGTAATAAGCCTAATTGTAACTATAAGCCTTAATTATACATTATTACTTGCATTGTACGTCTATTATTGGCGCACATTCATGTAATTACAAAGTTTATTATGGCGGAGCAGGGAATGTGAGGATTCCATTCCCTTTAGTATTTCGGAGATTTAGGATTCAGACCATCGACATCTAGAATGGACCGCTGATGGC